AATTTCATAGGGCTTATCACTTCAAAGAGAATTCTGCTAATGAGTAAGAGCTGTAGATAAAAGGTTTTTCATAGTCCTTCCATTTATAGAGTTTTTCTTTATTGTGAACTTTTTTGTGTCTACAAAGGTTTGATCTGTAACTGTAGGCTTTTCCACATTCCATACATTTATAAAGTTTCTCTCCCGTATGGATTCTCTCATGTTCAGTGAGGAAGGAATATTGGCTGAATGCTTTCCCACACTGATTACACTGATAGGGTTTCTCACCAGTATGGATTCTCTGATGCCTATAAAGATTGGACTTACAACCAAAGGCTTTACCACATTCTTCACATGTATAAAGTTTTTCTCCAGTATGAATTTTACGATGTTCATTAAAGGATGAATATTGATTGAAGGTTTTCCCACATTCATTACAGTGATAGGGTTTCTGTCCACTATGAATTCGCTGATGTTCGATAAGGGTTGAGATGCGTGTGAAGTTTCTCCCACATTCCATGCATTTACACAGTTGTTCTCCAGTATGGAGTCTCTGATGTTCAGCCAGAGATGTAAATTGGCTGTAACCTTTTCCACATTCACTACATTTATAGGGTTTCTCACCAGCATGGATCCTTTGATGTCTATGAAGTTTTGCTCTGCAGTTAAAGGCCTTCTCACATTCATCACATTTATACAGCTTCTCGCCCGTATGAATTCTCTGATGTATAGTGAGGGTTGAACACTGGCTAAAGGCTTTACCACATTCATTACACTGATACGGTTTCTCTCCAGTGTGCACTCTCAGATGTTTGATAAGGGCTGAACTGTTGCTAAAAGATTTTTCACATTCACTACATTTGTAAGGTTTCTCTCCAGTGTGAGTCCTCTGATGGGAAAGAAGGGATGACCTGTGACTAAAGGTTTTCTCACATTCATTACATTTGTAGGGTTTCTCATCAGTATGAATTCTCTGGTGTTCAATATACTGAAGACTATGATTAAAGCTTTTGCCACACTCATTACAAATATAAGGTTTTTCTTCTGGATAAATTTGAAAGCATTTCATTAGATCAATATCTTGTTTAAAATCCTTTCCACAAGTATAATATATACTGGATGTCCTTTCTTTAGGAACATTCTGTTGTCTTACAAAAACTGTATTTATAAATAGGCCTTCCCCCAGTTCAAGACTTGTAGTGTCTCTACCTCCACTGATAGCTTTTCTGTATGAGGTGACCATTTGCCTCTGAGGTTTCTTCTGTTGCTCCCATTCCAACCTGCTCTTAAAATCCAAAGCTTCTCGAAACTTCATATTCCAGTGACTATACTTCATGGCGTTTTTCATTACTATTCCTTGAGGTTTTTCTTCTATAAAAATGTCCTGTCTGGAAGGCAATACTTCTGCTTGAGGCCAAGTCTTGAAACCTGAAATTAATCAGAATTAATGTCTAGCCCTGTGGAAAAGACAAGCCAATGCATCAGTGGGACGATAAAATTGTCAACAACACTTATAAAACAGGTTTGAAATGAGCCCTAGACAATAATATATCGCTTGTGATCGGAGTAATAATTCTTTCATATTAATTACACTGCCATCACTTCTCTATTTGAAATGTGACAAAACAAGACATGTCCGCTTCTTTAATAAATTGATATCGGAATACTGAATTCTCTTTGTAGGAACCTCTAGAGAGTAATGGAATTCTGCAGGCTAACTCCTCTCGTTTATTCCACTTTTCCAAAATCTGACATTTCCTGCTCATCCAGAAATATGCACAAGCTCTAAATTAACCTCTGATTCTAGTGAAAAATTTTTTAGTTGAGTTAAAGCTAAGCAACTCTTGTGCTAAAAGCTGGCTTTCGTTAATTAATCCATGAGTGAAAATTGATTAAAATTAAAGAACTATAATTACAATAGGTAATTCCCCTTTCCCTATGAGTCAAAACTGACTAGATGGCGTTTTTGTTTCCTTAAATAAACTATATATAGCCAGATAATTTAATGCTAACAAAATTACTGCTTAGTCTATCCAGTTTTAGTAATAAAATGTGTTACTGAAATCATTGAGAAAGACAGGAAATATATCAGCTATAATTTTTTAAAACTAGTAATGCCTGTGATGGGTTACAAACCACAAGGTCAGCAGTTTGAAATCACCCCTGCCTGGAGGTTTTCTACTCCCATAAAGAGTTACAGGCTCAGAAACCCACAAGGGCAGTTCTACCCTGTCCATTAGGATCTATATGCATGAGAATCGACTCAATGGCAAGAGAGTTTTGCTTTTTAAGTTATGGGAAACATCAATTTGAATCTTCATGGGTCAACCAAGGTACCTTCTCCCCTTTGTTCTATTTTGTCAAAATATGACCTTCGTTGCACATCCAGAAATGTAGCCAACTACTCTAATCCTTCTCTTCCATTTGACTATCCCTGTCTTAGAATTTTTAAAACATCTTTTATTTATATAATCCATTCTATCACAACATATACAAGGGGACTTCTGAAAGTTTATAGGAAAGTTTAAAGATAATGTAAATTTTCCATGAACCCTTTTCTACAAGTTTTATTGGCATGTAATTCCCGTGTCACACAATTCAATAATTCAATCACATCATGAAGAACTGTAAAATCACCACTACTTTTTAAAGTCTCCTCATATATAAATCAAGTATTTTAAGTAGAACAGTACATATGTCTTATGATTATTTATTAATTCCTTATATGTATAATGGAACCCGGGTGGACTGGTCAGGTTAGTTGGATTGAAAAGCACATGGTCAGCAGTTCAAACTCACCAGCCACTCTGCAAGAGAGATGATATTTACAGCTACAGAAACCCTATACAGCAGTGGTTCTCAACCTGTGGGTCAGGACCCCTTTGGGAGTCAAATGACCCTTTCACAGGAGTCACCC